TTCCACTTATATTAAGATATTAAACTTTTTATCTTTTCAAGGCATTTTTTAGCTTCTATCATAGATTCTTCATTATTTCCATCTTTTGCTAAACGTTCTCCTTCACTACAATTATTTTTTGCTTCTTCATATAATCCTTTTTCAATAAGTGTATTTCCTAAATTGACATGAATAAAACCTAAGTCAATCATATCTGGAAACTTTTTTCCTAAAAATTTATTAAACCATTTTAAAATATTTCAAAGACAAAATTTTATACATATACATATGTATGTGTGTACATGATGTGTGTGTATGTGTTGATATTACCTAATTCTGCAGCTTTAGTTAAATACTCAATGGCTTTATCATATTTTTGTAACATGTAATTGGCACTACCTAAATCATTTAGTAAAACAACAGTCTGCTCACTGTCTTCACCATTTACTTTTATAGATACATCATAAGCTTGGATAAAATACTTAAGAGCATCAGTATATTGTGCTCGTGAAAAGAGCATAGATGCATACTTTTCTAAATTTAAACCTAATAATTGTAATACATCTTGATTTTCACTGTCTTTAGCTAAATGATTTTGTAAATTTTCCAAACAAAATTTATAACCATTTTCTGCTTTTCTATATTAACAAAGAAAAATATAATGTTAAGTCATTAAATATTTTACTTTACAAAGGACAAAAGAAATAAAATAAATAAATTGCTAAAATTGTTTAAATGTTTCCTTACTCTACATTTCCTATTTTGTCATATATATCAGCAATTTTAATACTGATATGAATAACTGCTAAATCATCTTCAGGAATTCCCTTAGCTATTAATCGTTTTAAAACTGATATAAATAACTTTTCTGCTTTTTTAAAGTCATTTAGGTCATATGCTAGATTTGCCATTACATCATATACATAAGTTATACCATCATAATGTTGCAAAGTTTGGGCTTGTCGTAAAGCAATATGCAGCATTTGCTCCGCTTTTAAAAACTCTTCCTTCTACATGGAAAAGAAATGTTATTGAGATTATATTAAAGTTTGCATTTAATTTAATAAAGGCAAGCATGCATTTATTTTAATAAAGACAAGCAATTTATGATAGTATACAAATATTATGTCTAACCTGAATTAATAAAATTGATCGTTTGATTGTCATTGTTAACTCTTCAACTTCATCTTTTTCTTTCTCAGGTTTAAATAAATTAAACAAAAAACTACCTGATATAATAAAAATTTGTGACGAACTTTTTAATTCATATGTACGATAATGTTCTTTTATTTTGTTAATTTGTGGCAAATATGTTATAAACTTGTTTTTCTTTAAATTTAATAGACAAATATTCGTAACAATGTAACTGGATTTTGTAAATCCTTGAAAGTGTTTAAATGTATTTATAATTATATTTTGATAATACATCACATTAAGTTTCGATTTTCTTTCTATGTAACTTCGCGATAATGACACTAGGTATACTTTATTACATAATTTTTACATGACAGATGCACCTATGTACACGTATAAGCACCCATATTTATGGTTTTCTACTGATTTTACGAAGAACAATCGTACTTCGTAAGTGCCACTAGTATACACTGTTTCCAGTTTTGTATACTTCTGTATATTTATGCAAATTTGTAGATTAGAAAATATAACAAGTGAATTATCAAATGCAAAATATACGTTCAACAGTGCTAAATTTTTAAATACACGCTACACGCATAGGTACATGTAGAGACGTATATGAAACTATACCAAAAATGTCTCTAATCTCAACAAAACAATGTGTACTCTTATATCTATCAGTATGTTATCTTGATTTACTTATGCATTACTAGGTATCTAAAAACATTATGTAGAAAGCAATATATAGATACACCGAGAAAAACTATTAAATTATCGTACAAATAAATATATATACATGTATACATATATATATATATATATTTTATTGTATAATATGATTTCGTGCATTACGTACCTTTTCACTTCACGGATATGAGATAGGTCGTATCATAACAGGTAACAAAGTTTCAATTGTGCATTTTTCTGTGCACAACATGTCAAATATGTCATTTATATATTTTTACGTGACAATATTATTGCTACACTGATGATAAGGAATGTATATAAATATTTAAATGAAGTTTAGTTTCCATGCATATTCGCGCTTTATATGCTTTTACCTTCTTTTTAGATTAAATGATTTATTGAAAATTTATAATTATGTTCAAGAACACACTACCTAATGTAGTGATTTGCCGTTTTATTATTCCACTAAACTATTGTATATTTTGGTATATGTTTATATTGAAAATTACATATCCATGGACACTCCCTATTTTTTTAAACCACTATTTGAAAACACTTATCCCCATATTTGATAAATTTTATAAACACATATTTAACTAATTTAATGTGTTTGTGTAAACTGTTTCAATGGATGTGTTAAAAAATATTATATTGAATGTATTAAGAAAGGTATTATGAAAGATAAATACTTCATATGCTTTTGTATATTACATTCAATATTTTTCTAAATATATAATTTACTTGCTTTTTTTATTATGTCTTCAGTGAAAATGAGTTCTCAAGATACAACTGACAATGTGCCAGCAGTTAATTTACCAAGCATATCTTCAAGAACAAAAAATTGGGTCCAATTTGAAGATGAAGCACCTGTTAAAGATAATGATGGAGTAGAAGAGAAAACTAAAACAAATGCTCCAGCTATAATAAAACCTGAATCAGTAACCGTGAATGTTGAAAAAATTGGAAAAACTGTTGACAAATCAGATAATCAACAAATAAAGAATCATGAATATAAAGGTGCTGTGATATCAACTGAATCCGTCCAGATTAATTTAGATAGGTCAGGTTTAAGTCGTTCTATTACATCTGAAAGTCCAGATCTTAATTTGCCGTCCGAAGTAAGAGTTTCTGATCCTAAAAGTGCTTCTTTAAAAACTATTGATCTCCGAGATGTATCCAACGGTAGAAGTACTGCAAATAATATTATAAGCACACCTATTGGAAACATTAGACAAGGTTTTGCTAATGGAGACACTATAGTTACCCTTTTACCAGTTAATACTAGATGGCCATGGATTACTCCAGCTAAATTTCGTCCAGAACTAGTACCAGAAGAATTAATGGCTCAAGGTTTAACGGTAAATACATAATTGGATCTTATTTCTTTATGTTTTGTTATACAGCAATTAATCATTTTATTGAAGGATATTTTTTCCTGAATGAAAAATTTGCATTCTTATGCATTTACATATAAAGTATTGTGATACATCTCTTGCAGCTTACAGTAGAAGATTACGTACATATAATGGAGTTGCTTGTGAATGATGTACGTTTCAATATGTACAATGTATGCTACAAAAGAATTCTTGTTCTTTGGATATTTACTGCATTTATTGTATTGCTCGGCTTGTTATTTTCTGGAGTGACTGGTCTTACTTTGTTTGGGCTCGGCGTCATGTGGTTAGTCCTCAATGCTGCCGCAATATTTTTTTGCATGTTCATCAAGATAAAATTAAATCATAATCTTGAGAAATGTATGGCTCAAGTTAACAAGCATTTACTACGACATAAAATATTGCTTGGACTGGATGATAGAGGGAAGATTTCATGTCACAAAGTCAATCTCTGCTTCATATATTTTGATACTACAGATTGCATTGTAAGTGTAATTAAAAGTGCATTAAATTAAAATGTTAAGGCTTAATATTACTTATAATATTTCTATATTTACTGTATATTATTTGTGTATAATAATACTTTTTTTAACTAAAATTAAAACTTTTCTTAGTAACATATGTAAGATTTGATTTATTTAATAATAGAAAAAATTGCAAGAAGTTATCGAACGAGAAGAACGTGAAGGAAGAGTAATCGGAGAAGATGGAAATTCTGAAATGCGTCGAAAAAGGGAATTACAACAACGAATGGATATTGATGATAGTGATATAGTAATACAAGGCAATACAACCACCAGAATTTCTCGTAAACAGGTATGTATCTTTTATATCAGGTAATTTTTCTGTTTTACTAAAATTAATTTAACTTAATTTAACTTAAATTTGTTGTAATAGTTAAAACATAACTTTTTATAATATACATTCTATGAAAATGAACTGTATTATGTGTCATATTTGCAAATTCTTACTACAATACATTATTTTATTTCTTTGTAAAATGAACTAAAAACTATTAGGGTAAAAGCGAACAAGTATTCTGCCGTTACGCACAACGTTGGGCAAAGGATTATTTACGTCGGCGATTGGATTGGACAGTTGATGAAGAAGGTGGAAATCCTTCTTCACCTCGTCATTTAGCATCAGCTTTATGCCCATGTCAATATATAGAAGAATGGCTGCGCAATAAGCCTCATGTTCAAGGCAGAGATTTCTGTCCTAGCTGGAGTAGTTTTCTTAAAGATAGAGGACTTTAAAGCAAAACTGTTAATACACATATAAGAGTTGAAAAAAAGTATTGCTCAAGGCAATTTTTATAAATTTAAAAGAAGCTCATATTTTAGCTTACTAGAGCTATTTTAATATTATTTCAGTGATAAGATTATTTTTAAATAAGAAATCTTTGTAGATAATATAAGCAATATTTTTAAAAGTAGATAAATAATCAAAATTTATGTTAGTGAAAATTAAGTGAAATTAAGTTACATGAGATATTAAAGTTACTTAATATAATTTTGTACTTAACAATACAAGTTTTTTTACTTGTAATATTATTAATTGCAATTAAGTTTACATATCATATTAACATTTGAAACATTATTTTAGTGTTATTATTTGGGGATTTGGATAATTAATTGATGTACTTGACATTGTTTTTTTTATTATAATTTTTGTTGACTAATAAAATGTTTAGCATTCAATTCAATATTTGTATAAAACTTGTATAAGTTACATATATGTGTATGTATTACAAGTTTATTTCTAGTGCTTTATACAATTGTACATAGTATTTAAATATTAAATAACTCAGAATTACCAATTTGATATATATAGTAAATATTTTTGTAAAATGGTGAATAATATAAGGTTCTATAAGAGTATGAAAAAATATAAACTAAAAGATAATTAATTTACAAAACAAATATAAAACGTTTTACTGAAAAAATTTATAGAAATATTACTACTGAAAAAATAAAATGTAATCTGTTACGCATTTATGTTTGATAACATCTAATCCATGCATAACAGGTTTTTAAGGCCATGAGTGAGCTTATTATTACTATATAAGAAATGGATTTTACATTATTATTATTACTTTAGTTCTAGGTTTCTGAATGATGATGGTATGTGTTGACAGGAACGGGCGGAGTTGCTGTTGCTGAGGTATGCATCTCGATGGGCACATCACTTTGTGCGCCGCAGACTTGATCTGGTTATAGACTCACAGGAACGTAATAGAGACATCGCGGGTCTGTCTGTTCCACCACGACATTGTGTCTCCGCCCGTTGTCCTTGTCAATTCATTGAGGACCATCTTAAATACAAGCCTAGAGGCAAGTTAATATTTCGTACATTTTTTTTGATGCCGAATTTTGGTGGTAAATAACTAAAATTAGTCACGTAAAGATTATGATCTAATCAGAGACAACTGAATTAATTTACATGTTCCTAAAATCTATTTCTTGTTATGGATATATAAGAAACTTGCATAAAAAATTCTGAGAAAGTATCAAATTGAAATTAGTTATCACTACAAATAGTTATTACCACAAGTAATTATTAAACATATATGTAAAATTCACATTAATTCTTTTAATAACATATTATTGAAAATTATTTTTGGAAATATTTGTTATATTTTTTTATTTTGGTAC